CATGAACACTCAAAGACTAATATTCATTTTGCTTCTTTCTCTAGTGTCTGGCCCTTCCTTCGATTGGTGCTTCTCCCCTACCTGGTTCTCTTCCGCTTTTCCGTAGTCTCCCTTGGGTCTTGCGTTTAGACTATAACCATGTTTCTTGGTATTCCGAGCTTTCGGTTTCATTCAATCGTGAACGGTATGCCAAATGCGTTTAAAGTACACCAGATACCGTTCTGGTAAGTCGGCTTCGCGCAAAAGTATAAAACTAACAGTTCAAAATCAAGTATCGCCAACTTTGCATGTATTTCGTTATAAGTAAAGTCAAGATTTACCTCCACGCTTCACGTATTAGCGATTTGAATAAATAAAATATTATAGTCATATTATAAAAGTCGGAACATAGTGCAAATGTTTATACTAATACATACTCACTTTAACGCTGCTAAATACCATTCCACTAAAACTAAAACATAAGTAATTGATAAGGAAATAAATCTATCAAAGTATTTTGACGTATGTCCATTCAGCATGTTTGCATCGTCGTTTATGACAACCCATGTATATTTTTTCAAGTAGCACGTGTCGTGCCCATTTGTGGCTATTGGATGGCAGTGTGAGGCCATGTAGGTTAACCGGTGCGCGCGATGACTGCCCGGCACGCCAGACACGTAGTACTTAACGTTCTTTTGAAGAATGAACAGTTTCATATAAAATTATTTTATCCAATCATAGACTTTCCAATTGAATTTTGAAATTCGTGTTTTTCATGTCAAATACTGCAATTGAAGCACAGTCACGTCTTATTGTAGCGTATTATCGAGTACGGCTTGATATACACAGGGAATACTATTATTGACAAAAACGACACAGTTCTCCCATGGTTCACTTTTTCTTAGCAGCTTCTATGCTCTTATAATATATATTGGTCGTTCGGTGCAACGTATTACATGTACGTCAAACCAACATATATAGATGCAGCGTTCCTCGCGTAATGCTCTGAAAACGAGGGCAAAATCAAATTTAAACGGAATGTACAGTAATGTGCCATCTTAGTGAACGAGCGAATTGTAATAAACTTCGGGAAATGTTGAACCACTGTCTGATCTCAGATCAGTGATTTGAGGTGGGCCAGGTGTACTGGGGTATTGACGACTCAGCTGATACCGGCTTCAGCCAATGGTTCTACAAATAGTTGCACAGATTCTCCTGGAAATTACGTCGTGGGCAGAATTTCAAACGAGGCAGCGCATTTCATAATATATTCACCTTTGTCTTTTTTATGTGTATCTAGTGTTCGCTAAGTTCGCTAAGGAGATACAATACTGTGAACTATTCACCACATCACTTTTGTGATGTAGTTCACAAAATTATATTTCTCCAATCGGAGCCGTTCATCAGCTATTTTAAATGCTTAAATTTAACTGATCACTTTTTCGTAAACTGGCGCTCAACGTTA